TTACTGGAGAAAACAAAAGTCAGGCAAACAACGTTTTATGTGGCTTATAAAAACATTGTCAAAGTTTGGGTCTTTGAGCTGGCTTAAAAGTGTTTTTAAAATGGTAATATTTTGTTTACATAATCTCTGTTTAATTAATGTGTTTTATATAAATATCATCATTGGTTCAAGTAATACAAAAATGGACAAAAAAAAACATCCGGTTCCTGGTTACCGACAACGAGAAATGGTTCCTGATTCCTGCAACTTTTTACTCTCCGGGGAGGGGAAGGAGATAAATATATAGTATATAAGGTAGATTAAACTGTACTCTCTGTTTTAAATAATGGCTGTTTGGGGACATGTTAGGCTGTAAGAGCCGAGGTATGAATCATTGACAGCATTATCTAAATAAAACCTGGGACGTGCCTTCTCCTGGAATTTCCAAAAATCAGCTCACAGAGGGAGAGAGAGGAGGGGAAGGCAAGGGGCTGAACAAATCATAAAGTGACGAGCGCACTTAAGGAGCCCCTCAATGCTCTCATGTCTAACAGCCATGAAACACCATGTGGATGTTTACCATCTAGCCTTGTCCATTGGAATGGAACTTTTGGATCTGGGTGCCAGATCCGATTTTTCCTCAGTTTCCTTTTGGTTCAGAAAATGACACCTCTATACGGTCAATTGCCTAAGCCAAACATTTAGGAGTTGTTCATTGTTTCTCTCCTTCTGTCAGTCCCGTATACAATCCATCAGCAAGGTCTCCTGGCTTTACCTCCAAAGTATTTTCCCTATCTTTTCATTTATTTTTATCCTGACCATTACCACCCTATACCAATCCATCATAACCACTTGGATAATAACCCAATTTTGCCAACTTCCCTTGCAATCCATCTTCTTCTTCCCAGCATTCATAATGCTGCTTTTAATTCATCAAACAGATAATTTCTTTCACTGGAAATCTTCAGGGGCTCCCTAATGCACTTGGAATTAAACATAAGCTCTCCGACATGGCTAACATATGACATGCATAACACATATGGAAAAGTATATAAATCACCAGTGTATAGCTCAATGAATTATCAGGTCTCAACTCAAATGATCTTTTTTTTATTGTTATGTTAATCCCCATACATTACATCATTAGTTTTTGATGTAGTGTTCCATGATTCATTGTTTGTGCATAACACCCAGTGCTCCATG